AACATATTCATTTTAACATATATTAAGGAAACACACATTAGAGTCAAGGCTACCAAAAATTACTAGGCTTCTCAAAATTAGCTTTTTTCCCACTACAATGAAGAAGATTCAATGGATTTCAATAAGTAGTTGGATTTTTATAAATTGACACCTCACCATGAAATCAAAGATCAATTTCATTTTAAAGGCAAAATCCAAACATTAAGGTAATTACAATGAAGTTTTAGCCAGATGATACAACTCCAGTGACCCACATCAGAATATCCTGACATTGACATATTTATAAAAACAGATGAAAAATATCAAAAAATGTTAAAATATTCTGAAGGAAGAATAAAAGAAAGTGAAAGATCAAAAACCAGATAGTTGGACATACATTATGACTGAATACAAATATATATTTTGTGTGACTAAATTAGCTGCAGCAACTTTCTCTTCGTGAATTTCCTTACCTCTCAATTCAGGACCAGGTTTGCACCGAATATTTGTGTTATAAAAATGTGAACTTTTCTGAAGTTTCTGAGTAGAAGAAAATAAATTCTCCACTAAACGTAAAACTTTGCATGATACATCGGTGAGAATTCAAAGCAAGTAGTAGCTTATTTTAAAAATAAAAAAGTTGGAATAAGCACCCAGACACCAGGATGTTTCAGTTGTTTTCTCTCTGATCTGCAAAGCCTGGATGGAATTCTAATGAGAGGAGATTTCTCCACCGAGACTTTCAAAGCTTCTTGTTTATGGGAGTGTGGAAACAAAGTTGTTCAAAGGATTGCAGTATCTTCATCTATGGTCTATGCCATAAGCAGTAGATGAGGAGGAATACAAATATATTAGAGCAGAAGGAAAGAAAAAGATTACCACCAGGTAAAGCAAACTTTATTATATTTTAAAGAACATTTCTATTCAGCTCAATTGCTAAAATTATTTCCTATTACCAGGAATACTGCGGTATTTTTTTGATTTCTTTTAAAAAATTGAATATATTTTTAATATCACTTCAGGTATGACGAAATGTGTGCGCTATTTCCCTTAAAAAAGAGATATAAAGCTTGTGAAGTCTTATCTCAAACAGACAACTCACAAAGACTATTGGGTAACGGTTCTTTCTTATTCTTCAACTTTTATAATACTGAACTGCCAGACTATGAAAAAAATATATACATCAACTGAATAATCAAATTTCTAGACATCTCTAGTTGGCTTGAATTTAGAACTATTTTATTTTATTTAGGTCTCTCACATTTCTGATAAATCCACAGGTGTTTCTCAACCTTCACTTCCACAGAAATCAGTGAGAGTTGAGAAAAATCGTGCAGGATAGGACCATAGAAGCTCAGATCATAAGAACTGAAGTTATCTGTAATATTATACTGACATAAAACCCTGTAACTGATTAACTTTTAAAGGGAAATAAAGTTTCCTTTGTCTGTTCAACATACTCGTATAACATGAGCCATATAAATCACAGGAATGTAAGTCACATGCAAAGAAACCTGCAGCGCTAATCCATCTCCATGCAGATTAGCTTGTGGCATACACGGCTGATTTCTATAATGCACTATATGATTGTAAGCTGAGGGAAACACATGTACAGTAAGTCTTCAGAATTATTAACCTCTGCAATAACCACTGGATATGACCATATCGCAAAAGGCAGTTCACATAGCAGAGATCCTCACAGTCTGCCTCTCTTGTCTATCTTCTCTCTCTCTCGCCAAGTACATTATTTTTGCAAACACGCGATTATTTTATCATGTAGACTATTCTGAAAGGAGCCTCGATGTGGAGGAGGCCCTCAGAAGCATCTCAAACCTCCAGAATTGTTCTTAAAACCTTCCTCATCTTCTATACTCTGTCCATTGCCAAGTGGTAAGCATCCATTTTTTTACCATGTACTTCAAAGCTTTCTCATCTCCATTCCTTTCTGTTCATCACACACCTGCTATTCACACTTGAATTATTTTCGATTATATTTTAGCATTTTCTGTGCATGATCTATTCCTTTGCTTATGTAATCACTTGTAGCTAGGACAACTATAACGTTTCATGAGATTTTAGTGTAGCCTACCCAGTTTCAGTGGAAAATACAGATGTGGCCTCCTGTTCCCCTATGGGACCCTACACATATGTCTAGCTCAACAGTTCTGCAACTACAAACCTGGTACTTGAATAAGCGTTGTAAATCAAGCCATTTTGTTGAGAAGAAACCCCTAACCCCTTCTGGTTTGTATGCTACTCTTCTCCTTGGGATTGGCAACAATAAGATTGTGTTTGCTGCCTTTTAGCTTTGTTACAACAGCCACAATAAAGCATGTACCCTGTGCTGCAAAAAAACAATTTATACATGACATGTTTTCTCTATCCTGAATGCCCCAGGCTTGGATCAGATGGGAAATGTTATTTTTGCAAATCTGGCAAAATGTATTTTGTTTGTCTGTTCTACAAAGGTAAAGAATCAATAACAACAAGAATGAAAAAGGTCAAATCAGACTCCTTCGTGTCAGCATGCCAACAGGAAGGTCAGCACACCAAAACTCCCAGGAAAATTAAACAATCAGGTCTCACCTTGTGGAGCAGAAGGCAAAAAAAAATCATACTTAAGGCTCAGGTGAAAGATATTAACGATGATGCAATGATTTCTCCTTGATTTTGGTGTGTGCCCTAATCACTTTGTGGATATGGGAAAAAGGTGTATTTTTATTTACAGATATGCATTTACGTACATGCACATATGTATGGTTAACAAACAAAAATATGATGGGTATCTAATCCTACTGAAGAACAAAGACCTAAGCTTTAGGAACAAACCAATGAATCCACCCATTCCTGTCAAAAAGAAAAATCCATTCTAATAGGAAACATGCACCTAAACTTTCATGAAAACATTGCTTTCTAACATATATTACTGGAGATACTTTAAGTGAACGCTTCCTCATCATATAAAGATTTTACCACACTACATTTCAAAAACATCTACCATGCAAATAACAGTTCTATGAAGGATTAGCATCCTAGGTTTCCAACTTCTCTAATCCAATCCTTAAAAATTATATTTATAAAGCAGCCTCTGTTGTCCTCATTTCAAATTTCAACGGTGAAGTTTAAACTTCTATGAGAAAAGGCTCTTCTGAATTATTCACCTTCATAAACACTAATTTTCTGCAAGGTACACAGGAATACTATGATGTAGAAGCTATACTATAATATATGTGAAAATCACCATAACACATGGTGCAATTACTTTCCCAACAGAACTTCTTACTGATGCAGTGCCATAAAACAAAAAGTTACTGTAATATAATAAGCCACAGTTACTTTTTGAACTGCCTCACTTTTAAAGATATTGCAACGCAAGATTAGTTATAAAACAATATTAACTGTCAGATTTGTAGGGTCATACACTAAAACCAGTGTAAATTTCAGCAGTCTTAACATTTTGAGAGCTTTAAGTTCCTTCATACGACACCTTTCCAACTCCCTATTGAAACAATTTACTTCCTCAAAATGACAACTCTGTGGAGTATTCCCACTAATATTTCAGACTATCATAAAATATATGGAATCAAGAGTAACCAGATTGGTACTTTGACATTATGTGAAACTATGCTGATACCATCTTTACAAACTTACACGGAGTTTTCTTTTCCTTTAAAAAAGAATACTGCTATTTTTGTTAGCTGAAGTTCTTCATGAATCTGACCATGAAATGAAAAGTCTAAATTATTTTAGCCCCAAAATGGGACAGAATCCCAGCAATGTGATTTAACTAGGCCTAGCTTTATGAATGAATATATCCAATCCACAATTTGGCAATAAGCTGCAAGAGAGGTCAGCATCCCCTTTGCTGTCCAAGAGGCATAGGGGAATGACGCCTTGCTTTCTGCCTCCCACCGTTACCTCCTAATCCATCTATTTTTCTCCTCTAGACAACGATCATATGCCTAGCAATGGGGACATTCCAGCATTTAGAAAAAAACACAAGGGAATCGCAAGCATTTGGGTGCCTAAAAGAACTTTTAAGTGTGCGTCTATATTGGACTTATAGTTCTGAACAAAAGTGCATTTTTGAAGCAGCTCTTCCAGTTATATTCACTCTCTATGCCTTGGTTTATACCACAGAGTAATGGACATGAATGGACCAACTCCATTTTTTCAGATGACGCTACATCGAAAGATGCTCTCCAGAAGTGCATTTTTCAAGTTCCAAATGCTAATGGGTACCCAAACCACAGCTAGCCTAAAGAACCCTCCAAAATGCCTACCTGCGTTGATATGGAGCCTCAGCACTGATTGTTTCACTCAACAAATTCACATGTTTCACAGCTCATGCTGTTTCCTACTGGGCAGGGAGACTACATGCTTCCTTAATATAAGCCACAATTCACCTAGTTTTTCCTCTTATTTCTAGGCAAACTCTGTCCCTACCTTAGTCTATGTCCACAAACACATAAATGAAATAGTGAGAATACCATGTGATGGAGATACAGATTTTCTTTTCTTTGCTAGCCCTAACTCTTGAAACTGAATTGAGAAAGAGAATCATGATAGTGGCTCATTTGTGGTCTCAATTCATTTTTATAGCAGTAAAATGCCAATTTTATAGCTATGAAATAGGAAGCCATACATATCTCTTAATTTAATAAGACCTAATTTATAAGAACTGTTATATACAACAGCACAGACTCAATAACATAGCAGTGAATTAAAAAGAACAGAAAGTTCTTACTCAAAACCAAAAAAATTAAGGAAACAAAAATTCTTGGATTTATCTTCAATGCTTTAGCATGAGAATGTTGCCCTAGTGCAATACTTTCTGTATAGAAATTTGTACTAGAAATTTGTATTAAAGGTATAAGAATAAAAAATAATGTATTTATAATTGATTTTTTGGATAGTAACACTATGGTAAATTCTACAAAGCCATGATACATTTAAAAGCAATCAAGAGCATCCTACATCTCCTTTTAGTATCCCTCTAGAAACTTCGCTCTTGAACTTACTTGTGGTGCAGTTCTTGAACTCTATGTCATCTATTGCCGCTCCTCCTCCTAGGTCTCTGGTGCGAATGCCTTCAAAAAGAACTTCAAAGTTCCTCAGCTTCCCCAGGTGTAACTCAGCTTTCTTCCATTCTTCACCATGACTTTCTGAGTCACTCCATATTTTCACCATTCCGTCATCAGTCTGAAGTATAAATAAAATATGTACTGTAAGATACATATACAGTATGGATTAACAAATGCCAGTTTTTGTACAAGAGAGAGAAGATTCTGGAAGATGCCCCTTCAGTTTGGTTAAGAAAGAGTGAACAGATGATTTGTTAGGAGAGATGGGAAAAATAACGAGATGAAATGATTACCATACAAATCACAAAAACATCAATAATAGATGGAGTCTCAGAAATAAATTACCATGTGTATGATTAAACTCCAAAACAGTCTGATGTGGTAGAGCTATATTTACCTTCATACAATCCTGAGATTCATTCTTTGTGTTTAGAACATATTACTGCATGCAAAGTTAGTCTTCAATTTTAAAATCAGGGTATCAGAGAGGCAGAATCTTTAAAAAGTTGTGACAATGATAGTACAAGTACAAATATAAAATATTCATATGTTTGATACAGTTTATTTGAATGTAAATAGTAGTTTTCTGTGTTTCAAATGCGCTAATATATTTAAAAGCTTTTCCTTAAAAGTTTAGTCATATCACCTAAGCGGCAAACCTGCAGTAAACAACATGCTTCATTTTTCAATACTAGTATTAGAATGCAAATGCACTAATTCCAAATTCTGTGAATAGCTGATCCATATATTTGATGGCACTGTCAATAAATATTTGCAAAAGCTGTATATATGTCTCAATTTAGATTTCTTTATGACTGTGTGACTAATCATCCAAAGCGTAAATGAAAAAAAATTTTTGGCTAGTCTTTTCTTATCAAAACCCATCAGTACTCCAAATAGGGTTAATGAAAGCACCAGATGATGCATCCAACAACTAAGTGTAATGCATAATGAATGTTCTAAGCAAGCAGTGTATGAACACACAAAATCTAAGAAAAACAGAGACAAAAGTAAAAATAGCCAGGGAAATAAAAGAATTATATTGATTTATACATGGTGTACCTGTTAAACAATCTTATGTTAATAAGATTGTCTTATGCATATTTATCATGAGAGAAAACTGAAAATGAAGCTGGATATTTTTGATATTGCATGCTGATTAGGAAAGTGAGGACAAGTATACACAGAAATGTTACATGAGCTGTTCCTGAATTGTGCAATTTACAGAATTATTAGTATCTTTTAAAAAGAGGTCCTAAGACCTACCACAACATGGAAATACTGAGGTGTAGCTTGATAATGGAAAATTATTATTAACTGCAGATATGTTAGTTGAAAAGAATGGCAGCTTTACATTACATTGCTCAACAGGAAAGAAAACACAGCCTCCACAGGCAAAATCCATAGGTACTCAGCTGAACAAATCTGTTTGTGTACGCCGAATGGTACTGTACCAGCAGGGGCAGCAGTTCAATGCTAAGTCATGACGACTGAGCACACAGCACCTACAGAGACAAGCTCAGGCATTGCTTCTTTGGTTACGTCACATTGATTTAAAGCTAATGAAGTGTTCTGTTAAAAGGAAAATAATATAACAGGACCTTGTTGGTGCTGTGATGGTTGATGACAAACAGTTATGACTTGCTTAATATATTTCTCACAATGAGGCTTCTAAACCTTTTCTACTTAGGTCCTATCACAGATCTATTCATTTAATAGCGTACGCCAAGCTCCTTTCAGGCCTATAACCAACACAATTAAGGGAGATTAGAGAGTTACAATGAATGTGAGACTCTCTCTCAAAATTCCAATTAAGTTTCTCCCTGAAAACAGCTATATATGAAATTTTCTTCCTATGTATAGAGGACCCTAGGATTACACAGAGCTCCAAAAGGGTAGATAAAGTAATGAAAGCTGATTTTAACAGTGGTAAAAGTTTTTTCAAATTTAACTGAATTTTACTCACATACTATTCTTCTTCATGAAATATGTAGTCAACAGTTCAATTTAATTATTTCAGCAACTCAAAAATATCTATTCCATTGATTCTAATCTTTCTGAATAACCTCCAAAACAGGATTATATATTATTAGGGCAATTTGTTTAGTCTGGAAATATCTTCCATCTAACCATGACACGAATAAAATGGATGAATATGAAGAGTTACATTTGGCTTTAAGGGCTCCACTCCAGAATACAAAACAAAACTTACAAGAGTAGCACTTTTTAGCATTTAATCTATTTGTTGTCTCTGGAACCTATTCTGTCTGCCCTTGAGAACTCTTAGGAATGGGAAACTTTCCCAAACATTATTTATAAAAAATTATGGATTAATTTTACAAAAGCAGTTTCAGTACTGTATATTGACTGGACAATTTAAGAAACTTAAAATGAAGTAGATACTAATAATATTAAATGATAACAGAATTCCTGTCAATTGATGCATTTAAGTGAAAAAGAAACATTCAAAATTGTAGGCATTGCAACATTAAGTCCCAATTCTATAAAAATTTACATGTGTTTAAGTTTGGATGATGAAAGTCAATAGAACTTCTTACAATATATAGAGATGAATATTTATATAAATTCCAGAGGGTGTTAAATGTAGCGCAGTTAACCATAAAATGGGCTTCAGTTTTGCTCTTGCCAGATTTTGATTGATTTCATACTATATTTTATCGCTTTATAGTATGTTCTGGCTTATGCTACATTTATCATGCTGATTTCTGAGGAAAGGGCGCTGCTAATAACAGGTAACACTGAGCACATTTCTTCATAAAAACCCATGTAAGATGTGTTAGCAATCAATTTGCACATGGCATCATAACCATGAAGTAACAAGCCGTTACGCAGTTTTAGGAATTCTAGGGTGTTTTTTGCAAAATTGTGAAGAAAATTTTCTGCTAAAAAGACAATGGTCAAAAGGAATCTTTACAAAAGGAAGATGTGAGAGAGTCCTTGTGCTTGACAAAATGTTAAATACAAATACAGAAATAAAACCTAGAAGAGAAAGCTGCTTCTGGGTTCAACAGTAGCAATTCCTAAACAAGAGCAGCACTTCACAAAGCATGAAAGGCTGATTTTTACTCCCTCAACTATAGCTGTACATAAGAAAATTAAAAGAAACTTCATTCCTTGCATAGCGTCATGAAGGCTTTTCTAAACTGGAGCGCAAATTCCCTTGGAAAATACAAGCCCAGCACATCATGTGCTCGAAATAACCGTGGAAGAGATGCGAAAGGGGAAGACGGACAGAAGGTTTGGCCCTACTCCTCTCCCCACACCCAGACAGTGGAGCTGGCTTGGCAATACCCTTTTCTGGATACATACTTGGCACAAGAAGATCATAGTTTGAACTTTGTCAGCTTTGCATATTCCATTTCATGAATTATTGTTCTGTTTTCTGCATTCTCCAGCCATTTAATCTGTCTTTGGTGCTTTGGCATTTCTTTGATATCTTTGGAATGTGTTTGCTTCAAAAACAAACACAGATATGACCTGAAGGAGAAAATCAATCTGTGCATCCAGACATTCTGTGACCTTTTTCAATCCCATATACATGCATCAATATAAAAGAGATGTATGATAATTAGAAGAAAGGTGTCTCCGAGTTTAGAGAAGGCTGGAGGCCACAGAGTCATCCTTTTGTTTTTATGAAGCTATTCTTCTGCCAACACATACTGGGTGTCTGCATTGCTGTTCAACCTGGACTGATGGCAAAATGCCCAGTCTACCTCTATGTTTCATTAGACTGATAAAAGGTGGTTAAGATCTGTTGCTCTGGCCAGTAGTATCAATGCTGCTTGTGTGTGCAAGCTGATTGCTCTGGCAGTTAGTTTAGGGTGGAAACCTCTAGCTACCCTGCAAGAGTCTAGCTGCATGTGGTCCTTCACCCCTCCTCCTCCCCAAAAAAAGAAAATTTCAGAAATGCTGTGATTATTCTGGCTGCTACTCATCCACATATCTGGTTTCACACCTCTTCTGCATTGTTAGCATCACACTCCCTTCCCCTTCGCACTCCACATTCCCTTCTTCGCTATGCTTGCTTGTCCTTGATCCCACTTTTCCTCACACCAGCACTTGTGCATCAAAGCCACATTTGTATCTTTCTTACCTCTCATAACATTAGCTTTGCCTTTCCTTTCAGTTCAGTTTTGTTCTCTTCACACCCAGCCTATCATTATCTTTTCCCTCTCATTTCTAAAACCATTCAGTTTCCAATCTGCATCCTCTTGTTGCCTATGCTTCCTCTCCAGCTAAGCAGATTATCAGGCAAAATTGCTTTTATCACTGGAAACCATCAACCTACCATCCTACCACCAGCCAAAGAAGGTGCTCCCTAGGAACATGAAAATAGCACCTAGAAACCGGTTCATGTGAAAGAAAAACCCCTATCTGTCCAACCAAAAGGCCAGGTTGAAGTTCTGAATTATGAAACTTGATTGTAACCTTTGTCTATTACAAATATGTAAGCCTTGAAGGAAGGAAAATGCCAGGTCTCACTGACACAGAGTACATAAGCAAAGTATATTTTCCCTAAGACTTTGGGAAAAGTCTTTCTTTAGCAAGATATCTCATTTGACAGTAAAACCCAAATAATGACACATGGTCGCTGGCCTTGGTCATGGCTACCACATGGTCACCACTGATTTTTTTCTGTTCTAAATAAAATCTCATGCCGTCTCTTTGAGATCATTTCACAGATTTCTCCCTCAAGTGAGGGGAAATATGGCTAAAAGAACTTAATCAATCACTCTTGTTTATGTTTCCTTTTGCAATCACTGTGAACAGCTTCACAGCCCTGCATGCCACTCAAGCTTGTAATTTTTTCAGTGTTGATATCCTTCTAAATCCACATACAGTCTATATTTACATTTTGTAAGGTCTTTCTGCATAACATTTAAAATTCTGGAGAAGTTCTCATCATCTCATGGGTTAAGGACTGCTAAAATTGCCTCTTTGTGAACTGATTTCCTTCCTGGCTGAATTCTCTCTTTAATACCAAAATCAAACATTATCAGTGTCCTTTATACTGTAATCCTACCTTTATCTTTTATTCATTATCAAGAGGCTCCTTCCTATGCTGGTCTGACTCAGGATGCCTTAATCCACTATGCA